GTCAAAACTAAATCAAAAGTCAATAGTCAAAAATCAAAACTAGTTTTGACTTATGGCGAAACCTTTTGACTTTTGCACGGTTGCAAAACTCTCTAGTTTTGGAAACCAACACTAATATATTAAAAAAGATCATTTCTTGTTGAAAGATAGAATTCCACCCTCTTTACACTTGTATAAATGTATTGCATTTAAAGATAGTGTTCAAGAATGTGTTACTCTATCTTTTAGTATATAGTAAATGATCGAGCTAATTATTGTTATTGTTATTATTATTATTAAAATAAAATATCTCTCAAATTTCATTATTTGTGAAACCAATCAAAAGATCTATTATGGCCTATTTGCGGAATTTTATTAACATAAAAAAGAATTCAAATACGCAAACATGAAAATTAAAGTCGAGCTTAATGGAATGATTTATTATTCAAGTAGTTCAATATCACGGGTAGGCATTTTATTTTTTCTATTTGAAATTGTTACTAATGGTTTTATGATTTTTGTAGCAACACTTGGTGATTTAAACTGGAATTGGTTTTTTATTCGATGGAAATAACAACTGTTATCGAATTTGCTTCACATATATTCTATATATCACATAATCACTGATGAATATTAGGAGCATGATGAGATGTGTTGGTGTGTACTAATATAACATCTTATTAAAAAAATGAATCGAAGTGGGTATTTTTATTTTATCAACGTTTCAAAAAAGTGGTGATAGTCGGCTAAAAATAAATTTCTTTTACATTCATTTTTACATCTAGAATTTTGGTGCAGAATTCAGTGACATAGACACTTAGTTGATATGGGTCCATCTGCATTACTTAGAATGACAAAAAAACATACATTTGCTCAAAAAAAGAAATTTACAATGCTCGTAGTAGGATAAAGGTATGTTAGAGTTTTCTATTCGTAATACAACTCAATCTTATTCGAATTTTCGAATTATTATTATTATTATTATTATTATTATTATTATTATTATTATTATTATTTGTCATTTGTCATGGTTATATTACATACTGTAAGAATTCTTGAATTTTTAAGGAAAGAATAATGTTAATGTTGAAGAGTCAAATAATATAAATACATATGTATGACATGATACGTACAATTAGAAACGTTTATAAAAGGTTTGATTTAGTCGCTGACATTTTTTGTGAAAACTCGGCTAGTTCCTGTGTATAACAAAAGGTTTCCCTATAAACATTAGCATAAAGGAAATCGTATTACTAACAATTAGTAAAAATCATTATATTCGAATGATTTTATCAACAATTACTTGGATGATTTTTATTTATTTTTATTTTAATGGATTTTTTTGTCACAATGTCACATAATATATGATTAAAAATTACTCGCACAATGTTTAATATATAAATAAAGAAAGGAACCGAAGAATATTCTCTTTTTATTAATATTTTTAGTAATGTTACCAATTGATCCATCAAAAAAGAAAAGAACTTTGTGAAATTTACGAAAAAAATCCATCGTTCACCCATATAAAGAATTTGGACTAAAGTTCAGCAGAATCGCAGAAAATACTGTTTGTAACATACTAAAAGATAAGGAAAAAAATGGTTAGCAATTGATCCCTTAGATGTTAATAAATAAATTGCCAAAGTATCCTGAGATTGTATGTGCATTGATTTTATGGTTTAACTAAGCATTTTTGGCCAAAAGAATAATTACAGGTGATATTATTGTTGAAAAATGCAAAAGGTTTGTTGAATTTCTTGGAATTGATGATTTTAAAGGCTCGGATGAATGGATTTCAAGTTATAAACAAATGCATAATATAATTTACATGGTAGAATCAGCATATCCCGTATTACTCAAGAACAAAGTAAATTACAAGGAATGATTTCCTTGGAAGATGTTTATAATTGTGATGAGACTGGCAAATTCATTTATATAATATAATTTACTAATAATCTTTATGTAAATTAACAAAATTTTTTAATTTATTAGGCTTGCTTTGTGAATTGGAACTTTCAAAAACACCATCAACTGGTCTTATTTCTTGTGTTAAATCAAAAAAAAAGGGTAACACTTTTATTAACTAT